GTGTATGGTCTGGAATTTGCAAACATTTTCACCAAAGCAACAGAAAACAGAAAGCAGCAGAAGGAAACATATGCAGTACCCACCCTTCCCCTCAAAGTCACAGGTAGCCCAAAAGTCTTTGAAGACTTGTGTGTTTTTTTTGTTAAAAAATTATGCAAAATGCTGCATTCAATCCCATTGTATGTGTAAATGTTTTAATAGAAAAATAATTTCTTCCAAAATCTTTAAGTAGAAAATAAATATTCCAGAAATAGAGACCATAATTGTTCTCTGGCTTTGTGCACCCTTGGCACGCCAGCAAGTCACCCAGGAGGGACTTGTTCCTACTCCATTTACATTCCAGTCATTTCATTTTCTATTCTTGTTTAGATTCCAGAATTTCTTCTCTATTAGAATACTAATGACAACAACAACATTAACACAATAAGCAATTGTTAGTCTGTATTGCACATTAACTGTGTTGAAGCACTGTGCATCTATTAGCTCCAGGAGGTGGGCACAATTATCACCCCCATAATATGGATGAGTAAATTGAGGCAGAAAATTAGGAGACATGCTCAAGGTCATGCAGGTAGTAACTAGTTGAATCAGGATTACAATTCAGGCAGGCTGACACCCAAGGTGTCTTTGCCTATATATATTCATTTACTCTGAAATTCACTTAAAATATTATAATTTGCTCACACTGCTCCTTTGTACTCAAAATCCCTGGGACATAGAAAATGGGTGAATTTTATTGTATATAAATTATACCTCAACACAGTTGAATTAAAAAAAAGTATAATTTGTAGAGCCGAGTTGTTAAGACTTTAAAGTCTTGCTTGTTCAGTGAATTGAGTAGCTTTAAGAATATGGATGTGTCCATGGTAGCGTAACCTTCAAGAAACAAATCAGCAGCAAACCTTATGAAAGAACACCTAGTATTTTGACTATTTTATGGGAGCTGATGCGAGAATGTGGGGTATTCTTACAGGTCACAGGCTGTGGAGTGGCTGGCAAATATGGTTTCAAAACAAGAGAGGAGCTGAGAAGAATTGTCTCCTGGACTCAGTTTTGTAAGAAATTGAAAAATTAAACCTTGTAAAGACAGTCTTAGGCCCATGGCTATGGGACAGACTGTGCTATAATATATTCTGATGGGTAGTAATAAAGAGGTTAGCCTTCACTAGAAACATACACGAACTATACAAATGGGTTTAGTATAGCCCTAGCCGGTTTGGCTCAGTGGATAGAGTGTCAACCTGTGGACTGAAGGGTCCCAGGTTCGATTCTGGTCAAGGGCACATGCCCAGGTTACAGGCTTGATCCCTAGGAGGGGGCTTGCAGGGGGCAGCTGATCAAAGATTCACTCTCATCATTGACGTTTCGATCTCTCTCCCTCTCCCTTCCTCTCTGAAATCAATTAAAAATATATTAAAGAACAAAACAAACAAACAAATGGGTCTAGTGTAGTGTTACAGAGCCTGAGAGTCCAGGGTTTTAGGGCCTGGTAGAAGGACCATCTGGTTAGCCAGCATTCCTCATGGCAGGCTCAGTAAGCTTAGTCCTAGAGTCTAGGAGACCTAGACAATAGGTTTTCTGATGCGGTGCAGATCTTTGTGTCCTGTACTGAATGACTTATGCATTTCTTAAAACCAATAATCTTTATCATAGACACAGAAAAGTACATTGATCAGTATAAGATCATTGTGCTCTTGAAAAATAATCTAGCAAGGAAGCGTATGGCATAAGGAGCACTCAAAAATGTGTCCTTTTCTTTCATTCATTAGCTCTGCAAATATTTGACACCCCCTATATACTATATGGAGGGTTGTGTACTATAAAAAGGGCAGTATTACAAAGGGTGTTGCCTCATCCTTCAAATGAGTAGAGTATCAACTATAGCCTCCCAGGATTGGCTTTTTTAAAAAATATATTTTTATTGATTTCAGAGAGGAAGGGAAAGGGAGAGATAGAAACATCAATGATGAGAAAATCATCGATTGGCTGCCTCCTGCACACCCCACCCTAGGGATTGGGCCCGCCACCAGGACATGTGCCCTGACCAGGAATTGAACCATGACCTCCTTGTTCATAGGTTGATGCTCAACCCCTGAACCATGCTGGCTGGGCAGGATTGACTTTTCCTGTCTACTTTGCCACCAGAGTTATCTTCTTTCCAGAGAGATTTGATGGTATTGCTCTCATCCTTACAATCTTTAATGACTCTCTATCTCATCGTGAGACACCTAATATCTCCAGTAGGAGATATTGACCGGTAGTGCTTAACCTCAATTTGACCATTAGACATGCCTCCCTCCCCAATCTGTACTTTGAAATATGAGTAAGTTCTCAACATTTAATATTTCAATTTTTCATATAAGCTGAATTTCTAGCATCTCTGTAGAAATTGAAGAATGGACATTCCACACCATTGGCATTGACTATCCCATTTTGGCAGAGAATATATTCTCCAGGTTGCCACAGCTCCCACCACTGCTCATGGTCGCAACTTGGTCTGCTTTGCTCCCTTAGATCCATGCTTGGCCCAAGGTATACATAATCGTTTGCAATCCTTCATGGATCGGATCATGACTAAACTCAAGAGCATGTCTGCAAGGCCCTTCACAATTTGGAACTGCTTGGTTTCATCCTTCACAAACAAGCTTTGTCCTCCTTAGTGCCTTTTCTTGTGCTGGTCTCTCTGCTTGGCATATCCTTCTTCCATCTTCTATTTCTGCCTAGAGGAGTCTCACTTATTCTCGACTTAGTTCAATCCTCTATGGAACTTTTCGGAATCCTGCCAGAGGGTTATTTGCTTCTTCCTAAGTGTTCTCATAGCACTTTGTGCCTCTTTTAGCACTGCAATGACTTTTTCTGTCTGTCCAATTGGAAAATGTGTTTCTAGAAGAGAACTCTTAATCATCTCCATATCACCCTTACGAGAGTGCCTACATCTAGTAGATAGACCTGAATATTTATTGAATGAACAAAAAGATGGATAAATGAATGAATGAATGAATACTTCCAGGAGAAACTTTTTGTTATAAGGTTTTCAGGTTTACAATAAGAAAAGTAACTACTCAAGATTAAATCTCAAATTTTGATAATGATAATGACATCTTCAGATAACAGTTCTTAAAAGCTCCTGTTCATTGTATCCTTTCCAGAAAGTAAGTCTAGAGAAAATAAAAAAAAAATATATAGTATTAGTAAATATATAGTGACTTAAAATTGTTAAGAGCATCACTGTGGGAGTGATTAGGGTAGTGCTGCAAAGAGAGAATAGATGGTGAAAAGACGTCACAACATATCTCCCTATAAGGCTAGTGGTCTCTCTGGCAATGTTTACCTGGAAGAATGGCACATTTGGGCCACAAAGTGGCAGGAAATGATCATGTAGCTGCAGGCTATCCTGTGGAAAAGGGTCAGCATGGTAGTCCTTAGAGATGTGCACCACAGCTCTCTCAGTTTGGGCACAAGGGAGGCTGCACTATCTGGCCTTATTGTAATGATTCCATGGAGCCAATGCAACTAGTCCTTGTCAATAGTTATGAGTCCAAATAACACACGCAGGTCACTTCTGGCCATAGCATTTAAATGTCAGCATGAGCCTCTTCAGAATGATCTTTATTGTCATAGCCACATGAAACATTCAAGATGGCAACTGTCCCATCCGCCTGGGTCCCTGAATAAGGAGACGCGGAACAGGTCAGCTGATGTGCAATGGACTAATAGTATGACCAAGAAAACAACTTTGGCTGCTATAGGCCACTAGAACTTGGAATTGTTTGTTACTCTGGCATAATATAGCCTATCCTGATTAATAAAATAGATTTGCTCTGTTTTCCTGCAAATGACAGAAAAAGACTAATGGTTGTATGTTTTAGGAAGACCAATTCTGTGCAATTTAAGAAAATGTAATATTGAAGTGTGCAAAGATGAAATAAATTGCTTAGGATTTTATGCTTTAATTCACACAATATGCGTTGAACTCTACAGTGTGTTAAATATTCTCTACCTAAAACCTCTGCCTTTATGGAAGTAAGTGGAGAGTTCCTTTTCACCTAAGATGTTTGCATTGAGGGCCCCTAAAGTTTTGCCTGGACAAATTAATTTAAAAAATACCCTCCAATCCAGAGTTTCAGGATGTCTATGTCCTCTGGTCTAAAAAAGAAAAAAAAAATCTATTTTCTCAAGCATTCCTTTGATTCAAAACATTTATTGATTTATCGAGTTGTCTTTTCAAATTTTAATGTCATTTTCCCAGCAAATAAGTTCCTTGAAGGCCAGTACTGTTTTATCTCTCCTTTGCATCTTTCTCATACTATTTAGTAGGCAATATTTTATTGTCTATTCTCTGAGGAATATAATCAGCTTTTGATACTAGTTATTATTATTTGATCGGTTTCAGATTTACTTGTCTTTCAACTATTTGTTAGATTTGGACTTATAAAAAAAAAAGTCTAGGAATACAAATGTATTACCTTAATAACTTTCAGGAAAAAATGCCTTCTTTTTCTGAAAAAAGAAAAAAAAAAGCCTTAGCTCAGTACTATTGAATTTGTGGCCAATTACAATATTTCATTAACATCTTAATTCAGTAAGCATTTAATGTATTCCTACTATGTGCCAGGGGGCAAGGTTTATTCAAGATTATCAAGATAATGTTACTTAATACCCTTTACCCATCATTACACACTTCTATATTTTAATAGAGTCTATGATCTCTCTGTACAAAGCCACTTGGATGGAATGCAAAAGGTTGGGGCAAAATATTCCCTTGGTTTAATTCAGGGGAGCACCTTGAATTCTGAGGGCTTAATTGATAACTTGGGGGGGATAGACCAATATGTAAGTGTGTGCAAGGGAGAAAAAAACCCTTTTATTTTTTTGTATTTCAGTTTCTGTTGAGGTTCATTTCAGGCTTTTAAAATTGGAGAATCAGCTGCCTGCTACAAGAAATTGCTAATAAGCAGTAATTAAAGACTGAGGATTTATTTATTCTTTCCATTCCAAACCTGATGTCATTCCCAGATGGAAATATTGGTACTGGTTAGGCAATTCAGCATTTTCGGAAACTAAGGCAGGATTTGGTGTCTCCTGGGCCCTGCAGGGGAAGAAAGTGATCCAGGAAAGAAAACTTGTGCTTTATTTTGTTTTTTCGCATCACAATCATTTACACATTTTTTTTTGCCCTGCTTTACAGAACCAGGAACTGCGGTGGGCACCTGTGTCTTAAAAAAAAAATGAGGGCTATTTCTCTAAAATAAACTTTTCATATTCTTATGTCTTTGGAATTGTTGCCTCCGCCTAAAATGACAATCAGCTGGAAAAAAGACGGATACATTCCAGTGAATTCAATACCCATTGATAGAAAAGAACTGGCAGATGAGAAAGCAGCATGAATACATGGGCGACTCTCCTTTATTTAGAAAACCCACACCAAAATACAGCACAGTTGACGTATTTGTTACCAGGGCTTGAAAGTAGAATCCGCCACTGTGTAAGATAAAATAAGACTGCACGGATGTCAGGATTTTCCCAGTGTGCTTTATTCATAGACATTTGACAGGGAGGACCTAACAGAGCTTTTAGGAAAAAGCTGAATTCTCAGCCCACAGTCACTTTCCAGGAACTTCACTGTAAACTGTGTTCCAGACTAGCGAGATGGAGATCTTAGCAATCTCCCTCCTGCTACCATAGTTTCCTTCTTGGTAAATACAATTATTTATGGGGGTTTAATGAGAGAGCAAGCCTTGTGTGAAAGGAACTCAAGAAAGTGCAGCTTCTAAAAATACGCCGGGGCGGCTCTGCAATTCTTATTGTTACAAACTGAGGTTTTGCAGTTCAAGCCCTGAACCTAACAACTACACACACACACACACACACACACACGCACGCACGCACGCACGAAGAGAAAAAGTAGACTATATTGTTGTTGTTTTTTTCCCTTTCTGCAATCCCCTTACACTTTGAGTAAACAGTAGTAATTTTTTGTTGTCATACTCAATGCAAATTTTCCAAAGGCGACACAACACAAAAACAAAAGACCTGTTAGCTTCCTTAGAGTTGGGGGTGGGGGTGGGGACGGATGGCAAGAGGAGAGGGGCAAAGTTGAATTTCCGTTTCACCTTAGCTGGGGTCCTGAACCTCCAGTCACCCCTGATCTTGCAGAGGTTTTTGGAGTTTCAGGCCCCTTTGGGGTACATCCCCTCGCCCCCTCATCACTGGCCCTCTTTGCTTCCAGCTTTTGGAGAAATTGGACCTCAGCTTAGGCGTCTTTCTTCCAGCGAGTAGAAAAGTACAGCTGCCGATGGGAGGATAAATAGCAAACAAATGGCCAGGGGTCCACTCCTCTTCCTTCCGCCACGTGCTCTTCAGTTGGGGTGCAGCGCTCCTGTATGGGGTCCTAAGAGGGGCGAGGGTGGGGTGAAGGGAGATGGACAGAACAGGATGTGAAGGAAGGAGGCCCTCTAGGAAAGATCGTCTTCACTGAACATTGAAGAGAAAAAAATTGGCCCACATGCCCCTAGTGGGGAGTGATACATCCCACGCAGGCTGGGGGGGGGGGGGGCGGCGAGCGTCGGGGCCTCTCACCTGACTTCCTCCTCCGCTGGCACACTCTGCAATCACCCCCCTGTTCCCCCTCAAAAAAAAAAAAAAAAAAAAAAAGCCCAGCCAAACAACGAACAACAAGAGGAAGCCGCAGGCGGCAAGAGGAGGGGGTGCGCGAGGTGGGGGCCCGGGAGAGGTGAGAGGGGAGGGTTGGCGGGCGTCGAGAACCGCGCCGCGCCCCCCAAGCGCACTCCAAGGCGCCCACACTTACCCCTCGCGGCTGAGGGTCCGATCTTCGGTGCCAATCCCCGTGCGCGCCCCTCGCCCGCCCTCGCCCCTCCGGCCCGCCGCCCCCCGACACCCCGGCCGGCGCGCAGGGAGGGAGCCTGGGAGCAGCGCGCGGCGGCAGCGGCTCGGGCTCGGCTCGGCTCGGGCTCCGGCGCGCCCGGTGTGGCCGGCGGCCGCCGAGGCTCCGCCGCCAGGGGGAGAAGCCGGGGCGGGCGCAGGGGAGGCGGGCCGGGCCCTCGCCTCGCCGCCCCGCCGGCCAGCCCGCGCTGCACCAGCTCCGAATCAGCGGCGACGCAGGGTCCGCGGAGCCCCGGGGCGCAGCGTGCGGGGCGGAGGAGCGCGGCTGGATGCGCGCGGCGGGTGGCTGCGGGCTCCCGCGGGGGGCGCCCGGCCGCTCCTGGGCGCCTCCAGACTGCGGGCGCGGCGACCGCCGAGCCCAGAGCAGCTCCCGCCGGCCCCTTCCCCCTCCCGCCCCCGCCCCCGCCCCCTCCCCCCCCCCCCCCGTTAACATCTCCTCCCTCCCCCCTTCCCTTCCTTCCCTCGGCCCCGCGCGCTCGCTAGCTCGCTCCTCGCCTCGCTCTCCCCTTTAAACGCCCACTTCGGATGGGGAAAGAAGACAACTTGAAGTCAAGTTGCAATTAACTTCCGCGGCAGCCGCAGCTCCGGCGGCGGCGGCACCAGAGGCAGAAGCCGCCGCCTCGGAAGTCCGACGCCGGTGCGCCTGCCCGGGGAGCCGTTCCCGGTCTCCGGCCCGCACTCGACAGCCACCGCCGCCCCCAGCGCCCATGCCTGAGTGAGTTCTGCTCCTTTGCCTCTCTTCTCCTCCCGACTCTTGCTCTTTCATCTCTGTCTCTTTTTTTTTTTTTTTTTCCGGGATCGATCCAAACTTCTTTGTAGCACCCACTCATGGCGCCCCTGGTCGGGGCGGCTCGGCTCCCCTCTCGTGGGCGCTGGCGGCAGGGGTCTGTCGAGCCCCTTCTCGCCCGCGCTGCCGGATCCAGGCGTGGGCCGGTAGAGTGGGGGAGAGCACGCGGGATGGGGGACTCGGGGATGCCCGTCGTCCTCTCCCAGGGTGTGGGCACACCTGCCCGACAGACCCTGGCTGAACAAACTCCTTCGGGTCATCAGCGCGACCCCTTTTGGAAGAGGAAAGGGGAGTAGAAAAGACCGAAGGAAGCCTGCGGAGACAGGGAGAGCCTCCCGGTGCCCCTCCGAGCCCGGCTGGCAGAAAGGTGCCCCGAGGAGGACGCTGGGGAGTGGGAACGCTCCCCGCCGGCTCGCCCGTCAGCTCAGCATCCTTCCCCGGTCCCTCTCCGCCTTCCTCCGCCCCCCGCCCGCGCGGCTGGCAGGGAGCGGCGGCGGCGGACAGGGACCTGGGAAGTTTGTGGCAACTTCTCCTTCCCGGGAACCACCCGGGCGCCGGGGCGCTCAAGTTGGAGCCGGGAGTTTGAAAGCCGCGGCACTCGGCGTTGGCAGTCCTCGCTGGCTGTAGTGAGGCCGGTCCTGAAGAGACTCCTGGAGTGAACGTGGGTTTGGAGATGGGCCGGAGGAAGGGAGAGGTGCTGCCCTCCTTGCAGGGACGGAGACATCACTGAGCAGCCACCACGGGGTCTCCCTCCTGCGGTCCCGACCCGAGCGTGGCGGCTCTCTCCGTGCGCCCCGCTGCCGAGGCTCCCCGGGCGGCGGAACGTGGGTTTGGGCAGCCACCGTGAGAGGGACGATGCAGGCAGGTGGCAGGTCCAGGAGTGACACGCGCGTAGCGGGGAAACGCACAGAGCAGGACTCTTGGGTGACTCCAGAATACCGAGAGGGACTAGGGCTCTTGCTGGAGGCTTTGGCACGGACCTCCGCTAGGGCATTGCAAATTCCACTTACAAGTGTCAACCACAGGGCCCCTTCCCAAAGTGCCCTCGCTGGCAACTTTGACCTCTGGGCCCTTCCTCCGTGAACTTTCTCAGCGGCATTCCGCATTTCCAGGCGAACGGTGTAACGCTTGGACTTCACGTGGTTGTAAAAGAGGGAAAACAGAAAGACGTCCGGTTTTCAGGACCGAACCTGGGGTTCCATGCTTACATCCTTGGAGGCCAGGCCACCTGACTTTCCCTAGAGGACAGAGTAGGGGGTAAGAATGAGTAAAACTACACTGCTTGGTGCCAGGTTTTGTTCGGAGCAGTTCCTGAAATCTACAGGGTTTGTGCTGCTGACCCAGTCACTCATCCCGCCGAAACTTTATTGAAATTTACACCCTGTCTAAAGTGGATTTTTCTGAGATATCAGGAATGGAAGATTTATTCTATAGTCAAATGTAGCTGCAACACCTCCTCCCCCCTCCCTCCCTACTAAGACTGGAGAAAACCAAGGTTGAGGTGTTTGCTCTACAAACCTTTAATCTGCTATGTGGTACTGGTGCTATGATTTAGCAGCAGTTCTTTATTTCTATTGCATATTATTTTAGTAGAACAGTAGTACATTCATATACTGGCTGCTCCAGTCTGCTGGCAAACATTAGCATTCAAGCTTACATTTTTGACAAATGTGCAGACAGGAATAGCATGAATAGGCATCTTAAATATTAACAACCTAAGCATCTGTTGTGAAACAAATTTAATATATTTACTCTGTTTTTCTCACATTGTTAGAAAAGGTTATAATAAGTGCATAATTTCAACTTTAGTTTGCAGAAGTAACTGGCTGCATCTTTCACTACCTCTCCAAGTGTTTAACACAATCACCAGACATAAATACTTTAATTAACTTGGTTAGGCACATTATTAAATAGACTTTAAACAATGTGCATACTATGTAACAGTAGCAAAATATGTATCGCATTTCTGCATATTTTAAATGACTATGCATTTTATAAATATACCAGGCATGTTTATTCTTCATCTCCATTTGACACTTATTACTTCATGTTTTTTTCTAATGGAAACAATATTTTAAATGTAGAGTTGTTCAGTCATATGCAATACATAATATGTAAACAGTAGCTATAAAATACAAAGCACTGTTAAATTTGAGCATGGCTACATGTAGCAAGATCGTACAAGAGAAATAAAAATCACTGCTCAATTTTGTATTCCTTTCTGAATAATGAATACAAATGATGTCTAATAAAGAACAAACAGGGATTTCCCTCCTAAAGTACTAGTGCCTTAAAATGTGTGGGGGGTAGGAGGGATGGAAGGGAGGGGGAAGATAAAGAAAACATAAAGAACTTCCCAAAGTCTGAATAGTTATTTCCAGAATCAATGCATTCCTCATTTTCCCACAAGCTGAAATATGTAATAAATAATAGTTCTTTGTATGTAAAAGTATTCAAAAGGAATGCCTTTTGTTTAGTTGTTGTAATAAATTAATATATTCTTTGGTTGATAATCTACAAAAGTGGGTCTTTTGTTTCTCAGCATCTTAAACAAGAACAACCACAAAATGAATATTGGCTTATTTCTGCAAAGAAGTCTGTTGCCAGCTATGTGAACCTGCGAATTAATAAGATATGATATGCTGAGTGATGGTTAAGAAAGACTACATTAAGTTGGCAAAGACGGAACTATCTGGAGGAGGTTTTGAATTATTTTTTTCAGGTGACAGGTTGTGGATTGTAAATTAGGCCTAAAAGGTCAGGTGACAGGCACCTGTTCCTCATTATTGTAAAAATCTTCTGGTTACAAACTCTATTAAGCTAAAGACAACATGGATATACAGTAGGGACTCTATAAAGCACTCTAGTGGCTTGTCATCTGCTCTGTAAATTTCCAAAAGGGCCATACATAGATATGCCCTGTACACAAACACATCATTTCTTTCAAGATGTGTTGTCTTGGATGACTCTTACTAGTACTTGGGATTGGCGAAGTATGTAAAATAAATACATGTCACTGAATCAATCTTCAGACCATATCTAGACATGTTGTAGTCCAATGCAAACATATTTTTAAACCCTTCTTTTCTCTTTACAGTCCATTGATTAATTATCAGAATTTCTTCATGTTTTAAAGAACAGCCTCCCCAAATTGCCTTGTATAGTTTTTAGATCAGATGTGTTCCCATTTTAAATGATGCCATGAAATATTTTGCCCAGTACTTGTATGTAAGGAGAAAATTAGTTGCTATCTACTGTCATAGCGTTGTGGCATATAGAAAATGGGAAGAAAACCACATTTTATATGAATGCTGTTAGGAAGCACATCGTCATCCGACCCTCAAGCTTGCCACTTCTCTCAGCGGAGCTCAGTAATGTTTCTGTTAGAATTAAAGAGTATGATCTGATTTGCATGAATGGCTTACCTTTAGATATTTCAGGGGGCAGAAGAAGCATACATATTGGATGGACCTAAATAGCACAAGGTGACAACAAAAGTAAAGGTGCCAGTTGCTTTTAATTAGCCAAGGAGGAGGATTTTGAGTAAATTCTGTAATTCAGATGATTAAATTCTATATTTAATTTTGTTCTTTTCTCTCTCTTTTTTGGTTTTGTACAGTTATTGCTTATTCTAGTAAGTATTTGGCTTTAGTATTTGTGGTCAGATTACAGAGCAGTCATTACCCTTGCTTTTCAAATTGATTTGGTTTCCAAACTCCAAAAGTCTGGGATGATTTTAACAAATTGGTTTACATTTTGACAGAACAGAGTTAAGTTAATTAATAGATCAGGCACGAAAAGTCCTCCACGGTAGGGTGTATTTTCTGGTAAAATGAAAGTTATGTTTCAGTATGATGAGCATCAGGCTTCAGTAATCTGTTCCTCGTGTGGAATGAACACTTCCTACTTCGAGCTAGCAGGCACCTACTGTTTATTTACGCTGCATTAAACTGACAGCTCAGCAATCAGAGGAAAAATATGACTTACCTTCCTGAAGTAAGTACCAGTTTATAGGTTAGTGCACGTATTTATATTCCTGTCACCACTAAATAACGGCTCTGTCTCCATTTTAATATCTACCTGTGCTATAATCCAGGGCCTCAGACTCTTCCCGGTTGGGGGTAGGGGTCGAAAGCAGGTTTTCTTATCATTTCCCAATGGCATAACCTTAGAGAAAAGTATTTTCATCTCTGTCGTGTGAGAACCAGCTGGAAGAAATGTTACTTTACATACCTCAGCTATAACATCAGAACCCCCAAAGAATCTGCATGCCACTTAAAATAGTCATCTGTTAGAGCAACCTCAGGACAAATAACGTTCAAACACATTCAAGTGTGAGTTTTCTAAATTGACTTTCTACCAAGTTCCAAATAGGTTACTTAAACGCTTTGATTACTTAGATAATAACTTTGATAAAGTGTCTTCCCTCCCAAGTCTTAGATGGAATGTCTCAGTTTTTACTGGAAATCTTCAAATATAAGTACAAAGGAGGGCTCATTGATTGCTCGATACTGTTGGCTTCTCTCTGAGAATATTCTTGCCTCCTTTCTTGTTATTCTGTCAACCTTA